TGGTGGTAAACCATTAGGAACATCACCTGGAAACACATCCTTGAAGTCCTGCAAAAGAGATTTAAGAACACTAGGCAAAGAATCATTAAGTTCGTTAGTGTTGAAATAAGCATCTTTATACAGAAGCACCAACATAGGCTGCTTTGCCAAGAACGCAGCCTTGACATCACTTTCTTTTGCAGAAACACTCACTGATTTTCTCTCTTTGTTTTCAACACTCTTGATCTTTTCTCTCCTTTTTAACTCTTTCTCTACTGTTTTCTCTCTGTTTTTCATACCCTCAAGCTCACTCTCTTTTCTCAGCTTACTCTCTTTTTTTAGTCTCAGTTGATCCTCATAAACCTGCCTTGGGCTCAATGGTGCAAGAGTAATTGTTTTCCCCTCCATGACAAATGAATAGCGATTTTTGAAGCCATCATGTGTCACTCTCTTATCATATTGCCATGGTCTCCCCAAAAGTAAATGTCCAGCATGCATGGGAACCACGTCGCACAGTACCTCATCCTTATATTGTCTGATAGAGAATGAAACCAGAACTTGCTTATTTACCTTAATTTCTCCACGATCATTTAATCATTGCATCTTATATGGCCTTGGATGCTTCTTCGTAGGTAAATTAAGCTTTTCAACCAAAACAGTGCTAGCTACATTAGTACAACTGCCACCATCAATAATCACACTACATACCTTATTTTTGATATGGCACCTTGTGTGAAATATGTTGTCGTGTTGTACTTCATCATCTTATTTGGCTTGCACATTCAAAGCACGCCTGGTGACAAGCAGTTCTCCATCAACAGCATATTCCATGCCATCATCCGCATCTTCCAATGGTGGCATAGAGTCATCATCAGATTCACCCTCTGTTTCTATTTCTCCATCTTCTCTCAAGATCATCGTGTGCTTATTAGGACATTGCGATGCAACATGCCCCCTTCCCGAGCATCGAAAACACTTGATGTCTCGGTTTCTGCCTTGCGTATTATCTGTTTGGTTAAATCCCCATTTTGGTCCCTGAACTATTGTACGGACCCCCGATTTGGTCCCTAAACTAAAGAAATCCCTGATTTAGTCCTTAAACTATTGTACGGACCCCTGATTTGGTCCCCACTGTTTATAATTTGGCCTACGTTGGTCCTTAAACTATTGTACGGACCCCAATTTGGTCCTTACTGTTTACAATTTCGCCCCAATTTGGTCCCTGAGCTATTATTTAACAGAAGGACCAAGTTGGGGTTAAATTGGTAAACAGTAGGGACCAAATTGGGCATCCGTATAATAGTTTAGGGACTAACTTGGGAGTCCTTACAATAGTTTAGGGACCAACTCAAGGGTCCGTACAATAGTTCAAGGACCAAATTAGGGATTTCTTTAGTTCAGGGACCAAATCGGGGGTCCGTACAATAGTTCAGGGACCAAAATAGGGGTTTAACCTATCTGTTTTACTCTTCTCATTGCTGCCAACTTCTTTTGACTTAAATGCTGCAGTTTTAGGCTTAAAAACAGAATTTTCTTCCTTTTTGCTCCAATTCAGTTTCCAAGAAGATGAGGAACCTGAATTTTGCCCAGTTCTG